TATATATATATTGATAGTAAATTATTATTTTATACTATCATTTAATTATAAATTATATATATATAATAGTTGGTATGGAAAATTAATTAGCATGATAAAATTTATTAAATATTTAATCATTTAATTTATTAATCTTTTATCATCATATTTTTTTAAATTTACTCACGAACATCTTTTAATTTTCGACGAATGACATTTTAGACAGATAATCTGTGGAAAATATTTGCCAAAAACATCATAATTTTCCCACGAAAAAAATTCGTGGGTAAGACAATCTGAAATTTCATATGGAAAACATCCGTGAGAAATATCTGTCTGAAACATCATAATTTTCCCACGGAAAAATCCGTGAGTAAGATCATTTGAAATTTTAGATGGAAAAAATATGTGGGTAATATCCATCGGTAATGTCGTTTTTCCCACAGATATTTATATGTGGGAAAAAATCTATGGGTAATGAGTATTTTTCTTGTAGTGTAACAATTAATCAAGATATAGTTAAACAACATATGTACGTTCAAAATTAATCCACAAGATGCAACAAAGTCTATACTATTCATATCATTAGTCATCAATTTATAATTCATAATCGATTAATGAATGTTATGTTCATGTAATGGATAAGATTCTCTTAAAATATATGCATGTGTCGCCAATAAAATCACATATCTCAACCCGAAGGCATGAATAGCCTAGGAGAATATGTCGTGTGTAACACCTCGATTTTCACAAATTATATGAAGACTCAAAGCCCAATAACGGTGATTTAGTAGCCTAGAACGGGTTGTTCCCAAACTGGAACGTGCCATTCCAAACTACTAAAAAGGCCTATAAACCCTAGATTGGAATGGGTCGTTCCAACACAGGTTGTTATGAGTAAAATTCTTAAAAGTCTACCTTTTCAAAATTGGCTCTTTTAAGATCGGTTCCATAACCGATTTTAAAAGTCTAAAATAACCGATTTTAAAAGCCTTTTTTCCACTAGTGCCGTCAGGACCTTAGTGGCGAGGGCCTGCTCTAGTACCTTGGTTCGGCTAGAGTTAAGGGGTGTGTATTGTGCGTATCGGGGTCCTCGAGTATTCTTTTCCCAGTTAAAAGTGTCACGCGGACGGGATCTAGGGAAAAATTCTTTTTCCTTCTTTTCTTGAAACAGCTCGGGTCGGTTCTAGTTCCTGAATATTCGGCCAATTCTTCCATTTGCATGTACTTTGTAGCCCTTTGCCTTAATTCATCTAAGTCTTGGGGCGGCTTCTTACATAGGTTGTTTACAAAGGGCCCTGGCCGCAGTGCCGTGGTGAGATGGTGCATTGCCATTGCTAGGTCTAAGTTTCGGATTGATAGGGTAATCTTCCTGAATCGCTCCATGAAGGTTCTTAGAGGTTCCTTTTTTTCCTGGCGAATATTAACCAACGCAATGGAGGTGAGCTGATGGGGTTGACTCGTGGCAAATTGTATTACAAATCGAGAGGACAAGGTTGGGAACGAGTCCACCGATCCTGGGGGAAGTCTTGTAAGCCAACTCAATGCAGGTCCTTTCAGTGACGTGGGAAAAACTTTGCACATGACAGCGTCTTCGTCGGTATATAAACCGACTTGAGTGACGAAGGCATCAAGGTGTTCCTCGGTGATGGGATCCTCCCTTCCATGGATGATTTCGACTCCTTGAAGAGGGACTCCTTGTCCAAAGATCTAGGCTCACCAAAGGTTAGGAAAATGGGGTGTTTAAGGTGGAATAGGTTTTGGACGTGTAGATGTTGGTGGGTTAGGCGGAAGGTGTGTGGTTGCTCAAGTAGGTTGGCTCACTCCAAAGGTAGATGGAGGCCACTCTAGGTTTCTCACTCTCCAATGGTGGAGATAGGAGAAGGTTAGCCAAAGGTAACCTAGTGACTAAGGATGGGATTTTGAGGCATAAAATGCTCACTCAATATCATATAATCCAAAGTATTTACAAGGTGTGGTGCATTGGGTATTTATAGGAGGGAAGGGATCTAGGGTTGCATTTGGAGTATGCATGGCCAAAATTCACAAGGCAAATGCACTCCAAATGAAATGAAAATTAACCCTAGATGCAACTTGGTGGCCAAGGATGGAATCTTTGGGTTTAGATTGGCTATATCTAGGTGCATGATAAGACCATGCAACCTTTGCCCTCCACTTGGGCCTAAGCCTTTCTAACACCAAAAATAGGTCCAATAGCCACAAAAATATGTCTAGGTTTTTGTTCCCACCCTAATCAAATACCTTAGCCCAAAAATAAAATCCTATGATCTAGAGCACCCCATAATACAAGGGTAAAACGGGAAATACAAAAGAAAATAATTCCTATGACTAAGATACCCCAAAATACAAGGGTAAAATTGGAAATACAAGTAAAATAAAGTCTATGACTAAAATACCCCAAAAGTACAAGGGTAAAATTGGAATAAAGCAATAAAATTCTATACTACTCAAATTGGGCCTAGGAGATGGATCCATACATGGTATCTCTCCAATCTCCATGTTCCTGCTTAGAAACACTTCCTTTGCTATCCCTTCTTCATGATCTTCTAAGTCTTCGGTGCCGACCGAGTACTATCCTCAGAGTGGGGAGGGTACCTGCAAAGGCACTCCGACGCTCAAGTAAGTATTTGGTACAGAGCAATAAAGGCTTTTATACTAGACAATCATACCTACCTTTTCTGTCCCATCACCTGTGTATTTATAGTGATGTATTTGGGCTTGGTGGGCCTTCTGTCTTGGGAGATGGGTAATTAGGGATTTACTGCTTTTGGTTAACCTTGATCTCAATTAATTAAGTGTGACAAGTATTGTGTAATAGATATCTTAACTTGCCTTTGTTCAATGTGGATTTGCGCACTCTTGCTCTTCGGCCAAGCTTTTAGCCGAAGAGGTGTTCGGTCGTTTACATGACCAAAGGGGGTACTCGGTTATCACTGTGGCTGAAGGGGTATTCGGTCATCCTCAAGCCTGAAGGAGTGTTTGGTTTGAATGCTTCAACTTGGTGCCCTTTTGCCCGGGTTGGAATACTCCTTCACATTTCGTTGCGGAAGGAGTACTCGGCTACCCATAAGGTCGAAGGGAGTAGTTACCCCTCGACTGTTGACCTAGCTGAAGGGGTGTCCGGTTTAGATAAAGACTCGTTAGTTGAGGTGCTTCTTTCGGCCTCTTCCCAGGCCGAGGGGTGTAGTCGGCACAGGGTTCGGTGGGGGGGTGTATTTCCCAGTACACAAGTTATAATGGAAAGAGATTTTGTTCGATCTAATTTTACACATTAATGATAGTTTTTTTTAAGAAGAGAATATATAAACATAAGCATAAAATTAGAAATATATGAAACAAATATAAATAAATTGGTTAAAGGGTAAATATGCCTTAAGAAAAGTCAAAGCTAAAAATAGTATTTTCTTTATCTGTTGTTATAAATAATTTTTTATTAAAAAATATGCTTTATTTTTATTTTATTATGTACAATATACAAGTTAAGTGTTAATTATATTACTAAAATTAAAATCAATTATGTGTATAAATAAATATTATGTTTAAATATATAAATTATATTTAAAATTTGAATTAACATA